GTGAAAACGAGCCATCTGGAGCGCCCGCCGCGCTGACGGTGTCTGCGATCAGATACCCTCGGTAGGGTCGCGACTGCGAAATAACGTTGTCGAAGCGTGATGTGTCGGGGGCGAAGCGATATGGATGAAAGCGCAGTGCTGTCGCTTCGCGATTAATAAATAATTACGTGTGATCAATTTACATTGAGCTGCTGAGCGGAAAAAATTAATTACTCATTAATTTCCGCGCGTAATCATTTTCCCGTGTGCATTTTGTTCTCTCCCGAGTTTTGTAAGGAAACCACCGCAATTAAAAAGTGTTTGGATATTACATTTCAGCGAACGTAACGTACAAGCATTAACGAAGTTCTTTTCTGAATAATTAAAATCTTTCGCGCTCCACTTAGTCACTTTATAGCCCGACCGATCAGCAGCAAGAGGCAGAGGAAGAAAGCGAGTTGACCCTTGCGATCCTTGAAAGTCTTGACGATAGAACGTTCGTAGCGTCTTTCTACAACAAATCCGTGTACAGTCTTGCTCGTTAATGCCTGGACCTCGGTTTTACTAGGATTCACATTTTCATAATCTTTATTTCCATCCGTACATCGATGAGTTTGAGGCTGTAGTTCACACAGCTCCTATAGAAGTCTGTGGTAGGGTAAAAGCACCTAATATCGCCCAGAACGTAATATCGTCACTCGTGAAATCTCGTGAACAACGTGCTGATATCAATTGACAATACATAGAATTAGTAGCTAAACATGCGTAAGAAGACATGCTGTAGTTACAACGTTATAGAAATAACGTCTGACTCAGGAGACGCATTAAGACAAATTTTGAGTGCTGAAAAATCTTGCGGACCGTGCAAGTTCGACATCCCATAGTGAGAATGTAAGTTGAAACATTCTTTTAAGGTACAAATGTTTACCAGGAATACATAATTAGTGGTGTACTTCACTATTTCTAACTGATTTCAACATGTATGTTTTTGTTACGATGTTTTTAGTGTTTAGATTAGGATGCACTCAGTACCGCCCACCATGTTATTACGGAGGCGTTTGTAATAATATGCGCCTAGGCGACATTACGTGCGTGCATTTTGAAGATTAAAGAGAGTAAAAAGGGAGTGCAAATTGACTCGATGTATAAATATTTCGAAACGGTGTATACTACATAATAAAAGTAGTTTTTAAGCATAATCGCAAATTGAAAAATTTTTTGGACACCTACAAACGTTTGTGTGGTGTAAAATAATAAATATCTGTAGCTTCGTAAACTCATACATATTGACAAACAATAATGTTATAAAAATTTATAAGGTAGGCGATATTAGGTGCCATTTTTACAAACCTCCGGTTTTGCCGCTTTCGTTTCTTTTTAATGTAGATTACAATTTTTTAAACTTTAACCATTTAACCTATTGTACATGAAACAGAAATGTTCCCTCTTTCATTTGAGACTAAATGCAGACAAAAACGTCAATTACTGTTTAAGCGAGAACAATTTGAATTTTGGTATTAGGTGCCATTTTTACAAACACCCGATTTTACCGTTTTTCTTTCTTTTCAATGTGGATTAAAATTTTGTAGACTTTAACCGGTCTAACCTGTTGTACATGAAACGCAAATGTTGCCTCAATGTGGATTAAAATTTTTCAGATTTTAACCATTCTAATCTATTGTACATGAAACACAAACGTTTCCTCTTTTATTTCAGACTAAATGCAGACAAAATGTTAATTACACTTTAGGTTAAAACGATTTGAATTTTGGTAGACGATATTTACCCTGTACATATACAGCCTGAAACTCAGTGATTTGTATAGATAAGAAAAATAATGATAAAAATGCAGGTCCAGACATTAATGAATAAGTCTGTACAATAAAGAGTAGAAGATTCATATTACACGGAAAAAAATGATGTTGTATCAATGTAATTAATCATTGATGAATCAACAAGATCAGTGTAATTGAAACAAAATTATTGAAACAACGTCAGTATTAATGATTGAAAAACATCAGATAGTTGTCTTAATAATCTGAATATTTAGTTCAATACTTAAAATTAAGATCCATAGCAAATACAGTTGAGTAAATTATTTATGTTTGTGGCAGCCCGTGACGTTTAGTTCTTAATTCAACAGCATTTTTTTTTCTGTATATCACTCGCGTGGAATATTTTGCGGCGGTTAGATTGGAGCTCCGTCGATGTAAAAGATTTTCTAATTACAATTCTCGCGCGGACTTGATGATAAAATCTCTTTCGCTCGTGCGATTTCTTTTTAATTGCTAATTTGCTGTTTGGACGCGAGTCTAGACGCGAATAACTTATTTTCAAACGCGAATTTAACGACAAATTCAAGTTTTGATCGAAAATTTCGTCACTTATTTACTCGCGCTGCGGTATTTATACTATCTTGTGTGCGACAGCGTAATGCAGCGTTCGATCTTCCGGTTCCGCATAATTTCACCGTGCACGCTGCATGCCTGTCGACAACTTGTGTCATAAATTTTGCATTCCGTCGATAATTAAGCACAGACGCTGCATGACTCAGCCAGAAATCTAAAACTGAGCGAGTCTGACAACTATTACAGCGTGACACGCGCCATAAAGAATTGTTAATGATACACTGAAAAAAATTTCTGGTTGAATATGGACGAATCAGATAATTCCTTTAGGATTTACCAGAATTCCTTTAGGATTTACCAGAATTTCTGTAGGATTACAGGAATTCTGGTAAATCCTAAAGGAATTCTGGTAAATCCTAAAGGAATTATCTGATTCGTCCATATTCAACCAGAAATTTTTTTCAGTGTATTTCTAATTCAATACAGGTTTCTCTTTAAAAATTGTTAAATCGTACTCTCTAAAAATCAATTAGTGAATAATCACTGGAAACAGTGAATAGCTACTGATTTACAGTTATAAGTATACCGCTGAAATTTTCAGTAGTGATTATTTCAGTAATAATCAATTAGTGAATAATCACTGGAAACAGTGCACTGAAAAAAAAAAATCTGTTAGATTCAACCAGACGTCTGTTAGAAAATGGACGAATCAGAATTCCCTTTAGGATTTACCAGAATTCCTTTAGGATTTACCATGAAAGATATTTCATAACCAGAAGTTTGGTACACTTTACTATACAAATCTGGTAAATCCTAAAGGGAATTCTGATTCGTCCATTTTCTAACAGACGACTGGTTGAATCTACCAGATTTTTTTTCAGTGTGGTTATTCTACTGAAAATTTCAGTGGTATACTTATAACTGTAAATCAGTGGCTATTCACTGTTTCCAGTGATTATTCACTAATTGATTTTTAGAGAGTATCGAAACGAAATTGAATAACATCGCGTCGTAGCGTGTGTTGAGTTTACAAAGTTATGCGATTTGTATATTCGCGCGATTAAAAGCACGACGCTACGCTGCAAGGCCAACCCAATCGGAGAGCATGGAGCTTACCCAAATTATTTTTTGACTTAAGAGATCGTATCTCACGTGTGGCCACGTAACCGTGCGAATTCCGCGCGAGCTCGTGAGCGCAAATCGCGTTGCATGCCGCGGTGAATTTCAGTGGCTCGAAAAACCGCCTGCCTCGCAAGCAGAAAGAAGCACGCGAGCGTCCGCGAAACTTGGCGTATAAATATCAGGGGTGGAGAAAAGAACGAAAGCCACGGTGCCGGGCTCGATTGTCGTCCCGAAATATATTCGAGACGTTCTCGCTTATCGCAACGCGCGAATAATGTTATTATCTGCGCTTAAATTGCCCTTAATTTGCGCTTGGGTCTTCAACGGAGAGCAGTCGCCGAAGTTTAAGAAAGCGGAACCGGCATTCGGCACGTAAGATACGAGTCGCGTGCACCGCGTCGACTCGTAATTTCGTTCGTCGTCCGCGAACGCTTATAAACTGTCGAGTCGATCGACATCGTCAGCGTTAAATCGAAAAGGTGAGAAAAAATAATGCTAAGGAGAATGTCGTTGCGAATAAAACTGCGAAATAAACAATTTTCCTAGGAGTCACGGGGATGTAGAGCGTCATTAATCGCGCATAGACGTCTCGAAATAATTAAATTCGGTAATTGTATCCGCTTCCCTGCGGGCGCTCGGATCATTTATTAGGAAGTCGTGGCATTTGATTTTTCGCATGTTAAAATCGGGCCAACGGATAATTACTGTCGGAAATGGGGAAGCGAATTCGACGGTAATAAATGCAGGCCCGCGGATCTTGGTTTTCGCTTCCGGCTGGACGCTGATATGGATATCTTGCCGAGACGAATGCGCTTTCTCGGCGAGGGCGTACAATGTAATACTTAACTCGGCGCGAGATGCATCTGCTACCCTTCGTACATTAATCACCGTCGACCCGGCGCGGCGCGCTGCCTCCATTAGGCGACTCCGCGTACAAATGAACTGCCTCCGAGTGTGCAAGTAGACGTTAGCCGCCCGAGAAATTGATATCGTTTATCGAGAGCCAATTCGGCCGTGGGAAACGGAAGGCGCATAAAGCTCCAATATTCGTGCACGGAAGTCGCAACGGTCGCTTACTTTTTCGGACGGCGGGGTGGAGGGGTGGGTGGGTGGGCAAGCCCCATAAATAGAAGAGAACGTAATTTACATCGAAATCTGACAACGGCCGAGGCAAATTCGCCGCTGTTAATATTCGCGGACCGCGTAATATCCGCGCGCGCGTGTCCTTCGTGAATTGCCGCTCTCGCCGCACTTGTTTCATTAGCGGCGCCTCGCGCATCAATTTACATATAAATTAAGAACACGGAGCCCCCGGAAAGTTTCTGATCTCTCGTGAAAAATGCAGCTGTCAGCGCAGTTTCTTCGCGCGGGTATCAGCGAGGGCGCTTCTCCCGCGCGGCTGGAGATCGAAGTTTACGCGCGCGATAGCGAGATATCGAACCGTCGCGTCGCCGCATAACGCGTTATCGATCCTCAGTTTCCTCAGAGCGCAAAGCGAAACGCGCGCTGGAAAAACTTTGCGAGTTGTAGGTCGGATTACAGAAAATTTAATATCGCGCGATAATCGATGTCTTTGATAGCTTCGATCGATTCTATTAGCCTTTTACTTCTGTTTGTATCTGTTCGACTTGATAGATCGAGAAACCGTTGGATGCCTATCTCTCTTTGCGACTCTTTGAACTGATTTCTCGCCTCTCTCTCTCTCTCTCTCTCTGCTTTCTCATTTCGGCGTTTTCTCAAGAATAACGACTTCCCAGTGGCAGTAAAATAAATTGGCTGTCGCGAGGCCTACAATCGCGCCTGTCGATTTCGCAGATAGACTTTAGGTAAATCCATTTATTTCCTAGCCGATAAACGCAGATTTTTCGTAAGATTTGCTTCTCTCGTGCGTGGAAAAGAAAAGAAATGTGCAACAGAACTGCAAAAGTTAACGAAAGAATGAAGTATTAATTACATGTACAATTGAGTAAAGCGATTTAATTGAGTATAATTTTAGCGATTTCTTTGTATGTATCAGAAAGAGCCATGCGATATATCAAACGTGACGTTGCAGAAAGTATGTATAGTAGAAATCGATAGAATTAATTGGAATAGAGAAACTTAAATATATGCGGTAAATGTCGAGGTAAACGTAAATAAATAAAGAGAAGACAATATTGTCCGTGCGACGTTATTTCTCAATTAATTGCTCTGTTATTTCATTGAAGCGTAAACACTCGGCTTTAGCATGCCCGATATTTTTTTCTGACTAATCGTGGCCGCGATACCGAAATTTGGAAGGGCTCGCACGTGATCCTCCGGCTAATTTTGCGAACGTAGACTTTTCCAACCACGTGCGGAACCAATTGGGACGCATTCACCTCGCCATACGTGGCAGGAAACTTTCAATAAACGCGCGGGTACGGCCGGTCGTACAATCAGGCGCGCGTTGCGTTTACGTATATTCGGCGTTTCCAAAATTTCGCACGCTAACAGGAGCGTAATTTTATTTGCGGCCACGCAATTCTTATTTACCGAAAACATTTGAGGGGCATTACACGCTTTATCGTTTCATTTAAATTTCGTTGATGTTTGCACTTAATCCCGGGCAGACTGGCAAATATTGATTGCTGAATTCAAATTCTGTATATAACGCCGAGGGAATTCAAAGCGCGCGGTATCGTCAAACGAAACCAATTAATGCGCACGTAGGTCAATAGTGAATTGTTTACGGCAAAAGGATTAGAGATTACCGAGCGTGTTTCTCCCGCGATTTCAAGGGAGCGCATTTTCTTCTCCCCTTCTAAATTAATTGGGCAGTTGCTTATCGTACTTTGTCTCATAACGCTGCTCGAGCTCCAATTGTTAACGCAGTATACACAGAATGTACCTCACACTTGTCGCATTTCTCATATAAAAGGAAAGAAAATATCGGAGAGAGACTCGTACTTCCTCTCTACCGCTTAAGAAGGCATCTTCCGCGGATAAATAATATTTCCAGAACATTATTAATAATTACAAAACGTCGTTCAACACGTGATGCCGTAATATATAACATCGTAGACTTTAGTGCCAGATTGCTCTCGTCCTTTTACACCAATACCAATTTGCACGTAACTTTCTTACAATCGCGCGATACGCACCGCACGATGTATTTCGTCGTGCGTGCTTTTTATAATCGCATTAATCGCGCCGCCCAATTACCACCAAGCTCGTGAAGTTGACGGTAATTGCTAGCCGCGCGAACCGCCCTCGTACCAATTAACCACGCAGTAACCGCGTGGTAACATCGCAGTAACCGTGTAGCAAGGTGCCGCAGGGCCCTCTACTCTTTATAGTCGGCGGACGAGTCCTCGAGAGGATCGAAGGATCATTTCCTTGTTCCTGCACCTGTGTGTTGGTGTGTTCGTGCGTGCCTGCGTGTTAACGTATGCGTGTAAACGCGAATGTTCGTTTGTACACGTGCGGTGCCGTGTGGGGACGGTCGGAATGAAGTGCTTGCCGGAAAACATGCGGAATTTCAACGAGGGAGGACTGGAGGGTCGGAAGGACGGTCGAGGGCGGAAAGAGTGAGCGAGGCCTAGAAGTCGGACTGCGACGTGGCCAGGGCACTCTCGGCCGTCTCCTCGCGTCGTCATAAGGGCCTCGTCACCTCGCCACACTCGCAGTACGTCGGGTGTCCACGACGATCCACGCGGTTGCTGATCGAGTGGTCGCTGCAACAGAAAGAGTGAGTAAAGTGATTAACACGACGGTCACCGAGTAGGGTTCGGTATAGATTTCATTCTTAAAATTACGAAGCTATCTCGTCTCCGCAAGTGTAAAAGGATTAAAAGAGTCCTCAGTTAAGCCAACGGCACACGACACTATTTTTCTTCGATTGTATGGCCCTCTCACCTTCGTTACGTGGCAGTCGAGGTTTCTCTCTCTTCGCGTTTAAGTCTGTGTGCTTTTCTCTCGTCGCGACATTATCACGAAAATTAATTTTTACGGACTATTACGTCCTTATTAATATGAGACCACCACCAAATGACCGGAGGGAGAGACTGCAACGTTCGTTAAAATCAAGTCGAGTCGATAGATGAAGATGTTGATTCAACTTCAATATAATGTCAATTGAAACGTGACTAGATCTTGGATATCTACAGAATATTTTCTAGATATCGTGATGAAATCTTTTAAATACCAACTTGATTATCGATTTGCACTTGATTTCAATATGATATCCACTGGATTCTTCATCGACTTGTGAACCCGCGAAGAGCCAATCAGAATTTAGCCTTAAGTCGCCTGACCTAAAACTCTGTATCCTTTTTGGTTCTCTTAAGCAATCCAGCAGGGAAAATAGTATTGTGTGCAGTTGACTTTAAATTATAATATTATAATAAATAATGTTACAGTATATTGTATTCCTTTTACAGGGTTTTTAAATCCTCCACAGATCGCATCAGGCCTTGCATTTGCGCATAAACGTCTTTATCGACGCTTTACAATTCAAATGCAGATTTAATATTTTTGTTATCAGACTTCAATGATAACTTGACCATGTCTGGCAATTTTTGTGTTCAAAACTCACAACATCTCGACCATGGCTTGTGGCCCTTTTCAAGTGATATTGTATCAAACGTTCAGTGTAATAAATTAAAGGAACAGAGTTGCCTCTCGTGAACCTAAACTTTGTTCCTTTAATTTATTACACTGAACATTTGATGCAGCATCACTTGAAAAGGACCACAAGCAGTGGTCGAAACGTTGTGAGTTTTGAACATAAAAATTGCCAGACATAGTCAAGTTATCATTGAAGTCTTTTAATTATTACTGGCGACATTAAAGATTACTCCTTGCTAGATTTTTATTTTCATTGCAAGAAAGTAACTGCAAAGTAACGATTCGTTACTTTTTGAGTAACTGTAACTAGTTACTTTTTTATAGCGAAAAAACTGCAACTGTAACTAGATCCTTTTATAAAGTAACTTTCCCCAATCCTGTTCTTTTGTAATATCAACTAAAATTAGTATTAGTAATTAGCTGCGCACAAGTGACGAAGAAAAGGGAGAAGTGAAGAGAGAGAATATAGCGTTTCCGACGGGCAAGCGTCGATCAAGACACAAGTGTAGATACAGTGCGAGTTGTATAAGTACGGGTGTCGTTTCTTCGAGAATTTTTCTGTTTTACTCTCTTAATAAAACAGAAGGTATCGGAGGAAATTTTCCATTCAATTATGGAAAAGGCGTGTAGCCGTTTCTCCCAACAAGAAGCAGCGAGTTTAATAAGCTCTATTAAAACAGTTTAATGTCCGCGGATTGCAAACTGATGAAATTGCAAAATCCATTTAAGTTGTATTGAATTTACTGTATATGCCAAGTGCATTATAATTTATTTCGATGTTAACCCTTTAGGATGGAAAACTTCTATTGCGTTAGGTACTTCCTTATTAAGGCACTTCGTTAAATCAGATGAGATGAGATTCTTAGAAATGCAATTTGTTGCAATGTGTAGCGTCGGCGCTTCCTATTTTCTGCTTACCGTAATAAATTTATGTAGCGAAATACTCCTCTAGAAACTAGAAGAGTAGTAAAAAAAAAGCTGTTTCTCTTTCTTTTATATTTCAACAATAGTTTTTTAATATTAATATTTATATTTTCTTTATGAATAACAAATGCGTTAATTAATTTAAAACGCGAAGACGCGGAGCTAACGAAAGGCCTTTAATTTGAAGTTTTGCTCTCGACAGTTTTCTATCCTCTCGCTTTAACGTTATGGTTAAAAATCGATGAAAGGAGCGCTTTAATAATACAGTCAAAAATCGATGAAAGAAACGATTGGAAACAATAAAATACATGGCGTGGAATCCTCGATTGCGTAACGACAAGCTCGATGTTATAACGAGTGAATAATCGAGTCGTTCCGCCCCGCCGTTTATGCTGTGTATATACGCGCAGCGATGGAACGATTTCGCAATGCGAACGATTCTTTCATTTGTTAGAGCAAAAATGCATTTCAGCGACTTCAGTGATGTACGGTTGTCGAGATGAGAGCCGGATAATTGGGGTGAAATAAAATTGCGATCGTTTCCTACGTCGAAATTTGTAAACCGCTGCCGTTTATCCCTTACGTCTGCGTGGGCTTTACGATTATACGATTAAATGCAGCTCACATATGAATGTGTATGAATCAGATGTGACGTCAATGAAGCGGTATATGCCGACACAATATTGCACGGCGTCTCGCAGTGTTATGCAACAATTATCCTGTTCGTTCTGTCAGAAGCAAGTTGATTGCCACTACAACAGCTTTCCCAATGTTTTTCAATCGTGACTAAAAAGAGCAGCATTTTTACTTTTATGAAGGTTGACTATTACGAAGGTTATTGTACATTAAACTGTTGTTTCTCGCTTCTAACATCCTGCGCCGGCCCCTACTGCGTTCCCCTTCTATCGATTTTATTGCTTTACTATCAGAGCCCTCAGATTATATTGACTCGATATTTTCACTTTTGTTTTAGAAATTGCGAGGTAAAACGGAATGTGGCTTAACATGTAAATATACACGAGGGAGCGCCAAAATACTCTCCGCGTGAAACTTCTAGACAGGATTACTTTTTAGCGTCGCAAAATATATTCTCGCTGAATATTCCGTTCTTTCTTTACTTGAATATGCCATCACAAAACGCAATAACTCTTTTATGATGACCATATATATCACCGGCACGTATCTAGTAAAATGATTAAAATGCTACAACGAAGGGCCGAGGAATGAAAGCGCTGCGATGTATTGCGATGCCTTATTCTTTTACGACTTCATTGAATTTTTGCCACAATGCGGCTCGCAACCTACATGAGAATTGTTACATTTTGATTCGCTTTGAGGTTTTCTCTTTTTGGTATATCCTATCGCCGCGGCTAGTCTACAGAAACCGCTTCAGCCCAAATTCCGCGGATTGCCTCTTTTGATTATGTGCCGTAAAGAATAGAGAATAGCCAAATCTTGGTTACAAAAGGCTCCATTGTTGAATTGAGGGCCGCCGACATTCGCTCGCTCGTGCGCCAACAGTCAAGCTGAAGCTTAAGAATATTGCATATTCATGCAGGCTTTCCTCATATAATAGAATGACACCCCGTCATTATAAAAATACATACCGGACGTCTTTCAATAAAGTTGATGGCTTTTGATAAGACATCTTTCAATTAGTTTCCAGTCTCGACGTCGCCTCGTGAGATTATTTGAACATCAATAATCTTTGTTATGGACACGTTCAAATGAAATCGATCAAACGGAATATTCCTGAATTTTTATTGCCGACAGTTAGGAAGCTGCGAAAAGAATGATACTCGAACGATTTGTTGCTGAAGAAAAGTCGACGAGAAAGAACGTTTCGTTACAATCGGATCGGTTCGACTTCAAATATTCCGTAGCGTGAAAGGAGCATAAAAATAGTTAATAAAAAGCAGTAAAGCGCGGAGGGGAGGGAGAAGCGTAAAATCATCCTCGCGAAAGATTAAAACTATCCACGGCAATGCAGACCTGACATAAAGGGGTTTATGAGAGAAATAACGAAGATTAGCACGTCGAGTTGGCGGAAGAGCTGACCGGGATGACAGGGATGGGAGGGGGCGGGATAGCAAATCGCCGTAGGTGATGAGAAAAAAAAAAGAATTCTGAATGCGATATCACCATGACCTACATCGTCCGGCTGAAAAAGAGCGGTGAATACTGAGTGTACTATTGTCAGGCGCAGTAGTTGTAGACCGATGGTATCGGACAACGTCGCTCACGCAGTGGTTACTACTCAATAATGGCCCGACAACGTTTAAGTCAGATCGCGTGCCGATCGCGATCCAAGCAGCTGGTGAGCAAGAATTTTTTAATTATTTACTATTCAGTCACTTTTCATGTCCAAACTGTTTACATCACTTGTCGATCGGCGTAGCTCTTCATTAGCTACACTTGGGTGTAATTATTGTACAGCGCGGGTAGCAACAATTCGCGCTCGGGGCGTTTATAAATGAGGAAACATTGAACGAGACAGAACTCCACGAGTGAAATCTGAGTACAAATTGTCACGATTTATTTGACGTTTAATAATGGAATAAATGGAAGAATGAGCTGATTCCGGAGGCTCCTGAATTAAACATTAAAACGGGGAAAATAAGAGGGCCGGATAGAGGCGATTTCAACTGCGATAGTCTAAATCGTTCCATAACGTGATGTCATACCGGTAGGAAATCGATAGCAAGTGAAGTACTTGTTACGTTTACGAGCGTGCAACAACGGGACTTCGATAAGATCGTCATAAAGTTCATCGCGAGCTTTAGCGCCTTATTAATTCAAACTTTCATTGTAACCAATAAAGTTACAAGTCCCAGTGCGACCAGAAGTGATTTCTGCCGTCAAGCTCAAGCGTGAAGCGTTTAAAGTTGAAAATAGTACAAATTGAGCGGGACAATTCGATAACTGGTTACGAATTAATTGCCTCTTATATTTGTCTCATGTCCCGTTCAATTTGCGCGACATTTTACGAAGATTATAATTTCCGCATGAAAATAACACGGAGAGATAGAGTGACTGCAATAAATTTAATCGATAAAAATTGTTTGAATATGTATTATTATTTTACATAAAATACATTATCGCATATCAATGATATCCATAAAATTTTTATACGAAAGTTGATTTAAATTCCATTTCTTTTTTTCTCTCACAAGACTTAAAAATC